ACAATACTCTGATCCTTGAGTGAAGAAGCACACGTCATAAGCCTCACAATGACTCTGGCTTTCTTCCTAGAGTCTCTTCCCTGTCTTGGCACAGAATAGTGGACCCCAAGCTAAAAGCTAGTCTTAATGAGCTCAGGAGTCAGATATTGGAATTCCAGGCTACTGAAATAGCTGGATTTTGTAGGGCAGGGAAACAGGGAAGAGGAAGCCTTGTGGTAGGGGCAAGAATAGCAGAGTTTTGTGTAGGGATTCACTCCGGGTTATTGGCTAAGGGCTGGCTGTGCACGAGTAGAGTGAGACTCTACGTGAGACCCAGCACAGATTGCCTGCTGTAGGATGATGCCAAAGGTCATGCAGTGCTGGAAGATATTGGAGATCCTGGTCAATCTGAATGAACAGGCGTCACTGAGCAGCTAGGCGTTCAGTTGTGATCCCAGAACAGCCATACTTTAGGAATAAGGACTGTGCCCTTGAGTTAGGGCCACACCCTAGGGCTAAATTCAGAAAGGAAATAAAACTTAAGAAAGTTAACCTTGATAACACTAAAAGGATCTGCCGGTAATTTACCTGACTGCCAGGACAAACTCAGCGCCTTCAATGGATGGCACTAGATTCTGCAGTGTATCATAACAATGTCAAACATATAATCATAAATTAGTGGAGTTATTAAGAGTCAGAAAATGTGATCTGTACTTAAGAGGAAAAAGTAATCAGTAGACACTGAAGTGACCCTGAAGTTGGAATTAGCAGACAGGTGCTTCAAAGTTGTTACAAGAAATATGTTCAAAGACTTAAAGGAAATGGCTAAAATGATTGAACAGAGAATCTCGACAGAGAAATGAAAATTATTAAAAATTTGCAAAATGAAAATCTAATACTAGAAATGAAATTTTTAAATTCACTGGACCAGATTAAAAGTGGATCAGAGACAGTGAACTAAAAGGTATTAGTGGACTTCGAGACTGGTCAACAGAAATCATTTAATCTGAAAACAGGAAAACAATATTGAAAAAAATGAACAGAGCCTTGGTGACGTGTGAGATAATGCCAAGAGTTCTACACACGGGTAACTGGAGTTTTGGAGGGAGAGGAAAAAAAGAATGGGCAGAAGAAATTGTTTGAAGAAACTATTACCAAAAATGTCCCAAATCTGGTGAAGAACCTTCACTTACATATCCAAGAATCCCAGTAACCCCCTAGCAGGATAAAACAAAGAAAATGACACCTAAGTCCATCACAGTCACACTGCTGGAAACCAAAGAAAAACAGGAGATACTGAAAGTGACCAGAAGAAGGATGATGATATGAATGGTGGCTGACTTCTCATCAGGTACCGTGGATGCCAGAGACAGTAGAGAAACATTTTTAAGGTGGTGAAAGGAGGAGGAAAAAACCCTCTGAATTCTCTACTTAGAAAAAAAAGTGCCTTTGAGTATGTAAGCAAAATAAAGATATTTTTCAAATAAAAGAATAAGAGAATTTATTGCCAGCATACCTGGTATATAAGAAATGCTAATAGCTGTTCCTCAAGCTGGAGAAAAATAATACCAGGCAACTCAGATATTTAGGAATGGATGAACAATACTGGAAAGGATAAATATCTGGGTAAATATAAAGGACTTTTTTAATAATTAAAAAATATACATACAACCATTTTAAACAAAAATATATGACATTGTATTGTGAATATATAATACATACGATTATCATTAAGGATGCGAGTGGATTTATGCAGTTGTAAAGTTCTTACATTTTACACAAAGTGTTGATTCTAAGTATACTGCACAAAGTTAAAAACGTGTACTGTAATCCCTAGAAAAACCTCTAAAATTAGTGTAAAGAGGTGTAGCTAAAGTCAACAGAAGAACTAAAATGAAATTCTAGATTACTTAGTTTACTGAAAAGAATGCACGAAAGGAGTAGCAGAGGAACCAAAAATGAACAAGATAAACAGTAAACAGTTAGAAAACGGTAGATCTTTATCCAACCATATCAATAAATTAAATGTAAATGGACTAAATATTATAGTTGAAAAAGACCAGACCAGATGAGAATGAAAAACTCAACCTTACACTAGCTATGAGAGGCACTCTTTAAATACAAAAGTAGAGGCAGGTTGAAAGTAAAGGGATGTGTAAGGCTACCATCCACCCTAATCGCCAGAGCTTATAAATATGTTACCTTAGGTGGCAGAAGGGACTCTGCAGATGTGATTAAAGTTACGGACATCGAGATGGGGCAGTTACCCTGGGTTATCCAGCGGGCCCAGTCTAATCACAGAAGTCCTTAAAAGCAGAGAACTTGAAAAAGAAAGAAAATGGTAACTATGTGAGATGCTGATTATGTTCATTAGCTTGACTGTGGTGATTATTTCACAATGTATGTCTGTATCAAAGCATTCAGTCACACTCCGTAAATATACACAATTTTTATTTGTCAATTATAACTCAATAAAGATGGGAAAAAATAACAGTTAAAGACCAAAACAAGAGACAACAGCAGTCAGATATAAATGTTAATTTAAGGTGGAGGAAGAGTCAGGGTGATAATGCATTGCTGGCTCTGAGGATGGAGGAAGGGCCCAAGCCGAGGAGTGTGGGTAGAGGCCAGGAAATTATTCTCCCTTTGAGCCTCTGGAAGAGAATATAGCACTTCCAGCACCTTGATTTGAGCCAGTGAGACCTTGAGATCTGTCAGAAGGCTGGCCTACTAATATCTTACAGGACTAAGGTAATAAATCTGTGTTGTTATAAGCCATTATTTTGAGGTAATTTGTTATAGCAACAATAGAAAATCAGTACAGGGTGGGAAAAGATATACCAGGCAAGTAGCATAAGAAAGTTTGACTGTATTAATGTCAGATAAAGTGAACTTAAAGACAGAGAGTGTTACAAGTGATAAAAGGGGGCATTTCACTGATCAAAGGGTCAGTTCATCTGGAAGATAGAATAGCCCTAAAAATGTATGTACCTGACAAAAGCTTCAAAATACGTAAAATAAAAAGACAGAAATAGACAAATCCGCAGTCATGGTTGGAGATTTTTAACACTGTTGTCTCATCAGTTGATAGAACAATTATTCAAAAATCAACCGACAACAAACCAGTAAGGGATAAAGAAGTTGTGGTATATTTATATGATGAAATACTACTCAGCCATAAAAATGAATAAAATAATGCCATTTGCAGGAACATGGATGGACCTAGAGATCGTCATTCTCAGTGAAGTAAGCCAAAAAGAGAAAGAAAAATACCATGTGATATCTCTCATATGTGGAATCTTAAAAAAAGAAAAAAAGAAAGAAAAGGACACTATGAACTCACCTACAAAACAGAAACAGACTTGCAGGCATAGTAAACAATCTTATGGTTACTGGGGAAAGAGGGTGGGAAGGGATAAATTTGGGAGTTTGATATTTATAAATGTTAGACACTACATATAAAAAAAGATTTTTTTAAAAAATTTTCTTTTGTATAGCACAGGGAACTATGTTCAATATGTTGTAATGGCCTTTAAGGAAAAAAATATGAAAACGAATGTATGTATGTGTATGCATGACTGGGACATTGTGCTGTACACCAGAAACTGACACATTGCAACTGATTGTACTTCAGTTAATAAAAAAGCCAGTAAGAACATTAGAAGATCTGAACCACTATTGACAACCTTGACTTAATTGACATTTTTCAGAACACTGCACCCAATTTCAGAACACACCTTCTTTTCTTGTGCACATAGTACATTCACCAAGATAGACTACCTGCTGGGCCATAAAATAAGTTTCCGTAAATTTAAAAGGATTGCCACCATACCAGGTAAAACAGAAGAAGAAATTATACTCAGTATGTTCTTTGACCACAGTAGAATTAAATTAGAAATAAATGATAAGAACACCGAATATTTAGAAATTAAACAAAATACTTCTAAATAATCCATGGATAAAAGAAGAAATCACAAGGGAAAAGAGCAAATATTTTGACCTAAAAGAAAATGAAAACCACAGTATGTCAAAGTTTCTGGGTGGCAACCTAAAGCTTTGCTTGAACGGAAATGTGTATTGTTGAAATCCTTTGAAAATGCATTTTCAACGT